TCGAGCCCTGGGTACTGCATCTGCCACCGAGAACTTTAAGGTGAAAACCGTTTCACCTGAGATCGCAGTGCAAGAGAAAGATTGAGTACAAGGTGGGAACAGGACAGAAGTGCAAGCAGTCAAAATCAAACATCATCGTGCTCCACAGTGAGTCCGGACCCCATCACCACGACCACTGGCATCTCCCCTTGGTTCTAGCCCCTTGCCCAACCACGCGTTCGGCAAACCTTCAGKCGGTCGCCTTCCCTCCCTACCCCAGCCAGACTCCTGCCTTCGCACTAAGACGGTTGGCAACCATGCGGGCGCTGAGTAGATTGTCCAGCCTCCAGTGGTTGTGGTCCGTCCAAGTAGTCTGCCTAGTAGTTGTCCAGGCGGTAGGTCCAGCGTTTTCCTCCCTATTGCTCACTCTCCACTCAAACGAGTTGAACTTACTTCAGAATCACCTCCTCAGGAGATCCGGCCCATCCTAGACTCACCAAGATTGTGCATTCGTCAAAAGAAACACCTGCCACATTCTTGATGCAAAATTTCAGAAATCTTGAGAAATTTTAGAAATTTTAGAAATCTCAGCAGAGGAAATTCCAACGCTGCACATGATACCAAATTTGACACACAACAACCAAATTTCACCCCCAAACACTAATTTCAGTTTTGGAGCCGTTAGTCAGGAGCTGACAGTGGGTATCCCCGTTAACCACTTGTGTGCAACATTCAACTCTCAGACAATGACATCCATCCCCACTCCACCACCATCATTATAGTAATCATCACTGGCACGATCCCGGATGTTCAAGGACAACACAACTACTCCCTATGCTCCTTCCTCCATATGCCACCATAGCCCACTCTCCATGGATGAAGTCTGAAACCAACCGATTCCCTCTAGGGGTCTTCCTGATGCAGCGCCATCTAGGCATTGCCTAGTGAAGATGAAGGTCCACCATAGCCAAAGGTAAGTCCTCTGGGTTCCATCCTTCTTCCCTCTCCTCTCAGCTTCGACTCTTCTCATCCCAACTCCATAGCTTCTACTGCTACTCCCTCCTAGGCTAGGCATCTCTCCCTCATCCTAGCCATGGAGCTCTCACCATCACCCTCAAGCTTCTCTTCACCTCCACGTAGCTCCACCACTTCTCCCTTTTGGTGGAGCTGCAGCATGACTGTCAAGTGAATGTCCCAAAGAGCGCGACTCAATCATTGCACCATCGAATCGAAGGATATACTCACGCCTCTCGGCCTCCAATACCGCTACTCAGATTGCTACCCGCCTCCTACCCGTGCGCTAGGACCTCCAGAAAGTTCCTGCCTTTGGGGGAAAGTCCGCAAGCCACCCCCAGGGCCTGAATCTAACCTAGTACCTGTCCACGCACAGGACCTGGGCCATTATGACCTTCCAGAAGGCACTGGACTCTCTCTGTGGCATACTGCGTAGCCACACGGGCCCTGCAGGGCCCGTCCCGGACAGTCAGCCTAAAAGCCTAAAACTTAGGGCTTACAGGCCCCGGTCGTTTCAGCCTGGAAGCTGAAAAACGAGGGCCTGCAGGCCCTACCCCGTTTCAGCCTATTTCTGGGTCTTTTCAGACCCAGAGTTTTCAGCCTGAAACGGAGGGCCATTTTCAGGCCCTCATTGTTTCGACNNNCCCCTAAGACTCAGGCACGTAAACAGGGATGCGGAACAGGCCAAGAATAGCCTGTTCCTCACGAGTTGAGCAGGAGCTGCAGCTGCAGCCCCTGCCTCCCTTCGGCAGGCTCAGGAGGCACACCCGTAGTACATAGGAAGTTCCCATGCACTTCACGGGTAGGTAGTTCAGTAGGCACGGGGTATAGTCTTCAGGATTCGGCCGCAGCACTCAGGAGGAGCGCTGCAGTAGTCTCCAGCGCTAAGTAGTAGTAGCGTTAGCTGTTGTCTTCGGCGCTGGGCGCCATAGCTGTAGTTGTAGTCTTCAGCGCTGGGCGCTGGTAGGTGGTAGATCGTAGAGTGGGAGAGAGACTGGCGGAGGCCAGTGATACTTACCTGTGGCCCCATCGCTCCAGCTCCATCTTCGTGGTACCTGCATCAAGGCGCCAACTTCACAGGTTAGTACTTGAAACAGAGAGAGAGAGAGTTCTTCTTCTTCCTCTTCTAAGTCCACCTTCTCTTCTCACCCTCTTACCGACGACTTGGTGTTGACGACATTCCCATCTTCCCCCCTCCTCTTCGTCTATCCCCTTCCTCTTCGTCTGTGTATGGTATAGGCTGGCGCTGTCTTCCTGTGTAAAGCGCCAGACCCATTCACACCATGTAACGAGGATGATGATGTATGTTAAGGGCTGCATTACAACATTGATTGTTCGGATCACTGGTATCTAAGTCTTCCGCTGTGTTATCTTGTACTTTGTATTGAAAGGTCGGTTCTTGTTCTGGTCTGCACGTTACAGTATGCAACACTCTCCTAACCCTACCGGAGCTAATGGGCCCGCCCAAGTTGCAGAGAAAAGCCTACCGGGTTCCTATCAAATTCTACCTACCCCTAGCCTGTAAGATTTTCCGGTAACTCCCTCTGTCGCTAAATTTCAGGTCTGTCCCTGTGTCTACACCTATCACTAAACTGCAAACAACACGGACTTGGCACAGGCAAGCACACAAAACATACGTCATCAGGAGGTCACACACACACACACACACACACACACACACACACACTGTTACATGCTGCGCCTGCACAGGAGGGCCATTTTCCAGGCCCTGCGTCGTTCAGGCTGGAAGCCTGAATTTCGGGCTCAAGGCCTGGAAATAAGGGTCTGCAGACCCCATGACGGTTCACCCCAAAAGCGTGACATCCAGAGCCCACAGGCCCTGCATCGTTTCAGCCAAAAAAGGCCTGAGCCTTTTCAGCCTGAAACTGAGGGTTATTTCCGGGCCTGCAGACCCCATGACGGT